AAGAGTCCGTCGCCTCTGTCGGCCGCTCTGGCCTGTCGGAGAGCCTGCCGTACATACAATGGGTTCTACTCTCGTTCTTGAAATCTTGAAAATCCCACCGCCACGGCCCACGCTTTAACAGTGCACACAAAACGGTCAACGCGGCACACAAATCGTTATATTTAGTCCAAATCCACCGGTGCTTTCGCTGATTTCTGCCAATGAGCGACCACGTCTTTTGCCGACTTCCTCTTCTCAAAATACCTGGAGCATCCAAAGATGAGAGCGAGAAAGGGCACAGAAGTTGCCCACGCGAGCACCTACAGACCGTGACAATGTGAGGCCGGAGCGACCGTGCGCGCTGTGTGTCATGCTGTACCTTGGCGTGTGCAAACTCCAGCGACACCTCGTCCACCTCCGTACGCTCCGACTTCTCGAGAGCAAGGATGACGACTCCGACGATGCCGTATAAGATGCCGAGGTAGAGATGGCAGGCGAGGATGGCGCACGAGACGCAGTGGCATAGGCGCACCACGCACGAGGGCAGGCAGGAGGCATTGGCACACGTGCAAGCCCCGACCATCCCGCTCGGCACATCCCACATCATCTGCACGATCGTGCCGATCGTCGCCTATATCGACAATATGCCACAGACTGTCAGGAGGTGCCCCGCACAATCACCTTCGACAGCGTGGCTTTCACCTCGAGGATGGAGCGGAGCAGGGTCGTCTGGACGGCAGCAATGAAGACGGCGTTGAGGAAGAAGGCAAACGTGACTGAAGAGAGCAACACGAGCGACCGCCGGCAGCGCGTGTAAGGGTGTGCGGGGTGAGCGCAGAAGGCAGAGAGGAGGACGTGGTTGTTCTGAAGGTAGAAGAGCAAATCCTCCCACCATCCGTTAGGCGGGTAGTGGACCTTGCCCGCGATGAGCATCTCACGCATCTCCTACGAGTTGAGCCGCATGGCACATAGCGGTGTGTTTGCAGATGGGGTGGGCAGAGGGTGTGCTCGAGAATTCGCGCCCGGCGTGCGCGCCTCAAACTCTCTAACGGATGGCGGAGCCTCGTTGAGGATGGTGTCCATCGCTCTGCTCTCCCTAGAGGGCACGACGACGGCAGAGCGAGAGCTAACCAGGCGCGCGGCCTACTTCCTCACTTTTACGCGCTCGAGCGCTCGGAGCGGCCCGTTCGTAGGCACGGAACATCATTCATGTGTTCACCCGATATCGTTCCGAGGATAGGTGGGAGCAGTCTCCCTTTGTGGGACCCGTCGCACACGTTGTCTACCTGGAGTGGCGGACGGCGTTGCCGCCGCGGTACGTGCTCTCGCTTATCAGCGACTACAACCCTCTGCTCGAGCACGCCGAGCAAAAAGAGGAGGACATTGAGGAGTACTCGAGCTTCCACGCCCTCCTGCGCGCCTGCTCGGCGGAGTACCTCGACTGGTGTGTGCCCGCACACAACCATCGCCCTCTGGCGCGCCCCAGGACAACGCAGCTTGCCCTGTCCTCGCGGTAGGTTCGAGCACCTGCCAGTGCGCTTCAGGATGAGCAAGCTGCGGCCGGCGCTGCCGAGTCTACCCCTGTCGGCGCTGATGCAACTGCCGTCGCTCAGTGCCGAGCCTAGCCTTGCCGGCGCTGCCGAGTCTGCCTTGACCGGCGCTCGAACAGCCTGAGAACCCCCGGGTTCTCAGCTTGACTTCTGAGAAACACGACTTGTGTTGCTGTCGGTTTTCATTTTTTATCATGCGCGCCGTAGACTAATTGTGTTGTGACACACTTGTGTGGGGGTAGCCCCTTTTTTGCGCCTTGGATGAGGTATCTCCATGCGTCCGTGCGCGTGTGTGACGAGGGGATGTCCGACTCGTCGAGGGAGCTAGAGCTCTCTCGTCGGCTTGCCAGAGCAAACACGACTGGGAAATTCACACAGCTCCTCTCAGCTGAACGGCTCCTGCACAAAGATCGCAAGGGCGGGGGCCTGTTCCTTTTTACCCATCTCACAGTAGAGAGGTGTCCGTTTTTATTTATTTATTTGAACGGCTCCTCCCAAAGTGCAGAGAGTGCAGAGTCGCAGAGATGAGAGAACTCTCACCCCCATATAAGGGACAAAGAGAGTGCAAATGAGGAGCATTATACGTGTGAGAGCTGTGTATGAAGCGCCCAAGCACAGAAAATTCAAACCCATTAACTCAGCCGCTCGGGGGCCCGACGTGGCACGATGGCACGGGGCTCGCTTTACGCTTCACGACTTGGCCTTCCTCTTTCTTTGGCGCGCTTTGAACTCGCCGGGCAGCATCGCCGCGCTGACGCCTCTTTGCCACATGCCAAGCCGATTACGCTGCGCCCTCGCCTCGATCGCATCCCAGCCGCTGAGGGGGCGCTGCGCATAGACTGCACCAGCGCTGCGGTAAACTGAGGCCAGACCCTTGCGCAGTAGCTCGGTCGACAGGTCACGCCGCCGTATCCCGTACTGTACCGTTCCGACGATCCTCCCATACTGGTCGCGCGCGTAGCAGCGCACCCTGACGCGGCGATTAAGGAGCCTCTTTGTGAAGGCCTTGGCGTCTGCCCCGAGCGGCTGTCCTGGCTGCCCAAACTTGGCTGTCTCCGGCGTGTCAACGGCAGCGATTCGCACAGAGATGGTGTTCTCTGACAGCTTGCCCTTGAATTTGCCAGACGACAGGAGCGTGGGCGTGTGGCGAACGCGCAAGGTGTCGCCATCGCTCACGGCGACCACCTTGGCAGCAATGGAACGGTGCTGCCGCAGATGGCTGCCAGGCATGTCGTCAGCGGTCAGGTAGAGGTCGAGACAGCGCTGGAGAGTGGAACCCGCGCAGCCAGCAGCTACGCCAGCCGCAAAAGAGCCCACGGCGACCGCGGGAGACTGCTGCACTGCCTTTGAGGCCGTGGCAAACAAGCCAGTCGCAACAGCGGGCGAATTCCGCACTGCATCTGAGGCCGTGCGAGCCGCATTTCCCACCGAACCTTGCACCACAGCGAAGAACGGTTTGGCTCCGGGCGTGAGCGCCGCAGGGATGGAGGTAGCCACGAGGATGGCCAGCATGTCTCTGTGGTGCTCGTTTACTATGTGCGCGGCGGCTGCTGGCTCTCGGCTCGCTCACACCGCCACACAGTTGTATGTGTTCACAGCCTGGTTATTGAGAAGAAAATACGCACAAAAATGGCGCTGTGCGCTGGTCTGTGAGAGGTTGAGGTGCGAGCCCTGGAGGCATTGGGGATGGGGGGAAACTACCCGCGGGCCTAGAAGGCCCGCGCGCAGGGGGGTGGGGCATTGAGACCGGTCATGAATGAGTGCGCGACACGCATGTTGCGAGCAGCGTTGTTGATGTTTTGCGCATCGCCACAGACGGCGGCGTTCACAGCCTTGTTATTGAGAACACGTCCTGTGGCGCTGTGCGCTGGTTCACGTTCACACAGGGGACTTGTATTGAAAAGAAATTATCTCGCAGACCTTGTTTACAGAGTTACAGTCTATGACTATGTTATTGAGAAAAAATACGTCCTATGGCGCTGTGCGCTGGTCTATGTACTATGTGAGGTTGATTCACAACAAACAAGAATTCACAGACCTGTTATTGAGAAAAAATACGAGATGCCGCCCTGAACACCGGCACCTCTCAGTATAAAATTGAGTATAATGTTGTTGGCGAAACAAGAGACGTGGCTCACTCTGGTGGTAGAGCGGGTATACGAGATTCCACAAGCTCGGGAGGACCACTCACTGTTTGCTGGGTCGGGTGCGCAGGGCGAAGGCGACCGCTCCCGCCACGCCCACCGCGCCCGTGGCCTGCATCGCCGCCGGGGGCCCAAATGCGGCGGCGACGGCGCCCATGCCGACCCCGCCAAGCACTTTGCCCACGTCACCCGCGGAGGTGTGCAGAGCGAGCGCGTGCGCACGCTCCTCGGGCTTGGTGCTATCGATGAGGAAGGGTAGCGTCGTCGCGAGTCTGATGGAGAGGAGGGCGGTGCTGCCGAGGCCGAGCGCCCAGAACTGCTCCGTCGTCTCGACGAGCGACTGGAGCGCGAGCACCGCCGGCGGCACGGTGAATGCGGGCAGCATAAGCGCTCGTCTGCTTGGCGCGCGGTCGGAGAGGTAGGCGGCAGGCTTGGCGCACACCTACGCGACAGCTCGACGAAGGTCTGCCGTGCCGAAAGGTGCAGGGCGAGCGTTTGCTGTGCGCCATCATGCATCCGATCACCGACATGAGGTACGTACCTAAAACGGTTTGCGAAGGGAGCTCTGCACTGGGTGCAGCCGTGCCCTCAATGGCCGCAGCAAAGGGCGCGCGCCGACCATCGTAGACGACATTTGTAGGTTCTCATACCTACACGGCATTCGGTGACGGCTTCACAGGGATGGTCCGTGGCCCACAACGGCTACGTTATCAGCGCGCATAAAGAGCATCGAGCCTACCGCCATGGAGGCGTCTCGGATTCCGCCCGTGAAGGCGGTGGCGAGCAGCCCCTGCATCTCCGGCTGCTGCACGACCCTCTCCATCTGCTGCCACGCCGTGCGCTGCGCCGCGCCGGGCGTCGTCGCCGTTGCTCGCATCGTCTCGGGGCAGAGAGCGTACAGCGACAGGGAGGAGACGCCAAAGAGGCCCGAGACGACAAAAAAGGGCGTCTGGACGTCGAAGGCGTCAGCCATGTACCCACCCACCGCCGGGCCGAGCGACACGCCCGCCAGCGCCGTCATCTGCAGCGGCGCGTTTGTGTTTGCTCGGTTTTTGGGCGTTGAGATGTCGGAGAGGTAGTTGGTTGAGCCAGTGACGAGGGCGGTCCCACCCACCCCCGCAAGGGCGGTGCACGCCACCATCTGCTCCGCGCTCGTGCTTAGCCCCATCCCCGCCATCGCCACGGCCTCGAGCGCCGCACCGCCGACGAGTAGCGGCCGGCGCCCCACTCGCTCGACCAGCGACGCGGCGGGCACGTTAGCCAGCAGCTTCACCAGTGACTGCGTCGACTGCACCATCCCGATGTGCCCCGCGTCGAGACCGAGGGAGCGCATGAAGACGGGCAGCACCGGGATATTGATTCCCGAGCCCACCTAATGAAAACGGAAACCTTATGGAGCGGCGCAATTCATGGGCGGCGCTGGATGTCATGAGCAGCCGACATAGTAGAGCATCAACGAGGCGGCGATCGGCCGCACCCTCGCGTCCACCGGCTCGGCGTCCCGGTCTACCGCGGCCTTGAACTCGTCCCACGTCACCTGGGGGCGGCCAATAGCATCGCAAGAGCTGCTAAAGGGTCACTGCAGTGATCTTTCTACCGCCACCTCGCCGTCGCCGTCGCTGTCCATCTCGGCCACAACGGCCGCCGCGGAGCGAGCAAGGAACTTGTCGCAGTCGGCATCGCCTGACTCGCACACCCCCGCGTCGACCAGCATCTGCCTCGCCTATTCATAGCGATGGAAGTGAAGGAGTCTGTCACAGTCATCCAGCTACTACAGTACGTGCCTCGCCTCTGTGGTGTCGATCCGTCCATCGCCATTGACATCGTACGACTTGAACCGTGCACGGAGCGCGTCGTGTTCAAGGTACTTCAGGCCGAGGTTGGCGAGGGGTGCCGGGACGTTGCTGAGTGTAAGCTCCTGCTTCACAACGTCATCTGACACGGTGGCAGCCTCCGCCTCCCGGGCGCTCCTGCTGCTGCGCAAGCGGCGAGGCGCAATCCGCAACCGGAGAGCCGAGCGGGGAGGGGCGAGGGCGAGGCAGGCTGCTGCGCGCATAGCGGGCCGGGTGAGGCCACCAGCCGCGACGCGCGTACGTAGGATTCGCGTGCGTCGTCCGTCCGTTTTTTTAGTTTCTTTTGTTAATTCAGACTAGACGTTTGGCGCCATGTGGCGCCGGGCCCCGCCCTCCAGGGCTTGACGCGTCTGGTGCCAGCGACGCAAACGGCAAGTGTTTTGCGACGGGTACTTGTAGTAGTGTTAGGAGCAACACGACGCCGATCGTTGAAAGTAGCAACCACTCACACACACACACGCCTCTTTAACCAACTGGCTCAGTTGAAGAGGCCGCTCCCACAGCTCTCACACCTATCTCTCTGGTACACAATATTGGAAGCGTTGTGAATTATTGTAGACCATTGGCCTCCTCAAAATCTCTCTCTCAACTCTCTCTCCGTAAGACTTCGGAGAAGGCAAGCCGTGAAGTTGTCATACAACCGTCTCGGCGTCGACAACAACTCTCGAACCAGTCGTGCTGCGGGAACGGCCCCTCTGATTGCTCTGACAGGCACGCCTTGCACCTCGCCATGGATCCGCGGCAGAAGCCAATCCCGCAACGCTTTCAGGAAAGAGAGGAGGAAGACGCATACCAAAACTGCTCCAATCAGTAGCTCCATACGTTGCCTTTCACTCGACTGTGTAGGAGTTGTTGCAGCTTCTCGATCTTTGAAGTCTTGTCCTGCAGCAACATTTTCTGCTTCCAAAAATGTAATCTAATACGTCATCGCACCTCCGCCATGAGGACGGCCTTGTGCGAGCGCTGTCGTTGAGAACGAAGCGGCCCGAGTGTTCTGTTGCCTTCAAGACATATTTCCTGAGCTGAGGTAGCTCGTTCCCTTGGTGAGGGCGGTCGTGTTCGTCATGGCCGGGTCGTGCGTGTACGTCTGGGCGACGTCCGTCGGACTACGGTCCGTTTAGCAGGTCTTTGGATCGGCTTCAAATCGTCCTCCTGGGGTGTCGACGGGCCCCCGGGGGCGACGGGGGTGCTCTCCGGCCGCGGCGGCCGAAAACGGGGACCTCCTTTACGGTCCTTTAATGAAGTGATGCACTTGATGCAAGGGTGCCATTGTGCTCTACTACAAAATTTGTGTAAGATGCCCAAGTCTCAGACGCTGGATCCTTAGCGGAGCTGAGTTCTGACGGTGTGAACACGAGCAACCGGAGTGACGACCGGGACCGGGCCGTACGCCGGGAGTGCCCCGACTAGCAGTGACGGGCGCGGACGAGCGAATGAGAGGTCGCTATCTGTGGAAGATGTGTTGTTAGGGACTAGGACTGCCTATCTCTCACTGAAAGAGACCTCTCATTCGCTCGTCCGCACCCGTCACCGCTCACGGAGTGCTCCGCGTGCCGCACCGGCCGCCGCCGGCCGCCGGCCGCTCACGGCAACGGAACAGTCTTACTACTCCGCAACGTTGAGCTGGATCAAACTGAATAGTGCTCCTGAAAGCCCTCTCTCTGGATCAAACTGAATAGTGCTCCTGAAAGCAGCTCATGACGAGCAGCTGCTGTGGCTGTATTTGTAGCCATTTTTAGGCTTCAACTGGTCCCAAAATAGTAGCAACACCTCATGAAAATCAGTCAAAAAAGCCCCAAAAAATCGGCGCCTGCGGCGGGCTACCTGGGGCGCACACAGCCCCAGACCCCCTTGACTGGGGGGACCCCCCCCAAGAGCACCCCCGTCGCCCCCGGGGGCCCGTCGACACCCCAGGATCGTCCTCCTTGACGCCGCTCGCGATGTTGGTACGGGCGAGGTCGAGTGTCTCGGTCATGGTTTTGAAGAGGGAAGTCGTGCGTCCCGCCTCGAGCTGCAGATCCCGGCCGGTCACATTCGTGTACGTGTCCCGCTGATACGCAAGGTACTGTCCAGTTGTGGGCAACCAGTGGCTCTGAAAGAATGCGCATGCCGAGGATCGAATCTGACTCAAAGCGCACGGGGTTGGTGCCGCCGACCGTCGGGAGGAAGCCGAGGAGTGCCAGAAGGATCCAGAGGGCGCCGACGGTGCCGATTCCGCCGCAGAGAGTGGCGGTCGAGGCCAGGCCGTGCGCGTGGGCCGGTCGGGCTCGGTCCTGCGGCGGGCGACCGGGCGCCGCACGGCTGGCCCCGTCGGCCGAACGGCGCCGCCGAGCGGCCGGGCGCTTCGGGTTGGGCCCGGTCGACCGGGCCCCCGGGAGGCAGGGGCGGGCGCGGTCGGGAGGGGGCCGCCAAATCGACCAAATCGAGTGGGGTGCCGCGATTTTCAGTGTACTGTACTTTTAGCTTACTGGGAGAAACTCTCTCTCTCTCTCAGTGTATGTTGTATGTAGCTCTTACGAACATACCCGTAGGTGAACATTTTGGGCTGCTACTTTTTATGATAGGGATTCTTTTTCTTTCACACACCGGAGGCTGATATTCAGCTGAAAAACCTTCGTGGTTGGGGGTCGGACGGGAAACTTTTGCGAGTGGGCAGGGCTAGGGGCAGGGGGCTGCAGGGGGAGAGGGGGAGGGAGGCCCAGCGAGGGGCTGCGGCTGGATCCTAGTGCGCGGACGGATGGACTAAAGACGCACTAAACCTCGCTAACTCTGGATGTAAAGTCGCAGTGAACTCGCGCTAAAGTTGCGCTGAATTCGCGCTAAAGTTGCGCTAAATTCGCACTAAATTCGCGCTAAAGTGCACTAAAGATGCAGTACATAAACACTTCACAGCCTTCTTATTGAGAGAAAATACGTCCTATGGCGCTGTGGTGCGCTGTTCACAGCCTTGTTATGAGAAGAAAATACGCCTACCTATGGCGCAGGGAGGGAGGGTGTGGTACCTTTTGGGAGAGAGAGAGAGAAGAGAGAGAGACCTTTTGTGAAACTGAAACGCGGAACGCGATCTGTGTCTCGCGTTCCTCAACGCTTGCGATTCAGCTGTCGCGCCGCTGGATGATCTTGCTCAGCTCGCCGAGCTCGACCTGAACGGTCAGCGGTTCTCGTAAACGCAAGCGGTTCACACCAACAAAAAAAATTCGCGGCCACGCTCCTCTTCTTCTGCGATGACGAGCCTGAAAGTGGAGCGCTTCCGCGAGACCGTCGGCGGCATCACAAGCGCTGAGGCAAGCTCGATTCTCGAGGCGTGTGACTGGGACATCAAAGCCGCGCTGGCTCGCTGCCGGCGTGACGGAGTCGGCATCGTTGGATCTTTGGGCTCCGCTGCGCGGGCCACCTCGGCAAACACCCCGCCGGCGGCTGAAGCCACGGCCGCCGCGCCGGCGGCTGAAGCCGCGACGCCACCGCCACCGGCGTTCGACTGCTTCCTTACGCACGATTGGGGCGACGACGAGGAGGGCCGCGGCAACCACGATCGGGTGGGCAGGGTGAGCGCGGCGCTCAAGGCGGCGGGGCTGCGGCCGTGGTTCGACGAGGAGCGGATGCAGGGCGACATCAACCAGCGGATGGTGGAGGGGATCGAGGGTTCGAGCAGCGTCGTCTGCTTCATCACGAGGCGGTACCTCGAAAAGGCGTGGGGCAAGGGGCCAGCCGGCGACGACGACAACTGCAAGTTCGAGTTTGACTACGCCTGCCGCCGCAAGGGCGTCGCGAAGATGATCTCGGTCGTGATGGAGCGCGGCTGCCGCAACCCCAGCGGCTGGGCCGGCACCGTCGGCGGCAAGCTCGGCGGCAAGCTCTACATCGACCTGAGCTCAGACGACGCGGCTGCCTTTGACGCAGGGGTGAGGCTGCTGGTGGGGGAGGTGCGTTTGCTAATGGCAGGGCCGTCGTGGCTTCTCTCTATATGACATGATTTTTCCCAAGGATTACAATAGACATAGACCTGATCTTATTTTTTACTTCAGCGTTTCGGTCCGCTGTCTATGTTTTCTCTTGTCCTTTAGTGACTGCCTCCCTTTTCCCTTTATATCTCTGTTCCCTGTTCTCCTTCCTTTCATATTATACTTTTTTTGTTACCCTCTTTTAAATTTTC